TAATGGATCTATGGGGCCAACTAGTTCTATAATGTCTTCTAATTCTATGCCAAGTGGTGGAATGGGTCCTGGTCATTGTGGTCCAATGAGACATGGTAGTCCGATGGGCTCAGCAATGGGGAGTGGGCCTATGGGTGGTAACGGGCCTATCACATCAATGGGACCCGGGCCTCCGTATGGGGGTCACATGGGCCATGGAGGTCCTATGGGGATGGGTGGAAGTGGCTCAATGGGAATGGGTCCTGGACCAGGAAATATGGGAAACTGTGGGCCCCTAGCAGGAATGAGTGGCATGGCCATGGGAGGCCCTGGAGGCCAAGGAGTGGGTCCAATGGGCCAAGGGATGGGCATGTTTGGGCCCAAGCCAATGCCCGTCAGTGCTGGGAAGGTGTATCCTCCAGATCAGCCGATGGTGTTCAATCCCCAGAACCCAAATGCGCCACCTATCTACCCATGTGGTGTGTGTCATAAGGAAGTACACGATAATGATCAAGCAATATTATGTGAATCTGGGTGCAATTTTTGGTTTCATAGGTAAGTTAAATTGTATTTTATTGATTAACAATTAAAGCTTTTCAGCTTTAAATATTTACAATATCAATAATAATAGTATATTACTAAACATATTATTATTACATAATATGCTATCATTAAATTAAATGATAATTAGCTTCCAAAGCACGGAATGCGTGCTTAAAACTAATTTAATGATGTATATGAATAATAATGTGATTATAGTAATAGCAGGCCTGTTCATCTCCGCGAGTTTACATCGAAAACAAAACACGCACGATTGCCCCCTACAAGAGTACTATTCGACAAGGCCTCACATACGAGCGAACATTGACTCACGCACGCGTATTCTTGTGTATGATGGAAAAAAATAAAGAAAATGGTGTACTAAATACTGTGCAGTATTTAACTGCCTAAATAATAATAAAAACACAGAATGTACTTTTTTAAGTTGCCTCAAGACACTGAGAGGTAAATAAGTAGTTAATATTATTCATGATAATTCATGCTAAATCATGTATTTCCTCCGCCATTTTCTGCAGATTGGCACCTCACGTCACATCATTTTACCGAAGTCAGCCCTATAGCTTCGGCGCAGTACCGATCACTGACGTTTGTCAACAAAACTTCTGACAAACTTGCTTGACTCTTGAGACAAGCTAAATTACACCATATTGTTAATGACATTGAGCATACATTTTTTTAAATACCTTCGCGAAGTAAAACTTCTGTACGTAGTACTTATTATTATTCTGTGGTAATAGGAAAACCTATTCCTTTAATTTAAACTTCACCAATTATAACTTGAACGTTTACAGGGGCTGCACCGGGCTAACGGAGCCAGCGTTCCAGTTACTCACGGCTGAGGTGTATGCGGAGTGGGTGTGTGACAAGTGCCTGCACTCTAAGAATATTCCTCTGGTGAAGTTTAAGCCATAGCGCTACGCCGCGCCCCCCTCCCCCGTTCTATTGCCACCTATTTGAGTTGCATCCCTCCTATAGGCTAACGGCATAATGGGACATACAGGTACGTTGTTAAACCTTAACTCCTGACAATTGCCTTGTCAAGTCCCAGTGCCTAGCAGTAAGCTCATCACAAATATTTATTTCACATCATTTCTATCGAGGACTAAGCGTGAGCAAACTAAATGTATTGATCTTGGGCATGAATTTGGTTTGTCAGTAGTCTTACTAAGAAAGATCTCATGGATAGGTAGTTACATAAAATTAAGAATGTGAATTGAGTAAAGACTAATTGGGTTAAACAAAAAACACTTAATTTCTAGCCGAAGTATTCAGTTGAATGGAAAGAAATGATTCGTGAAATTGCAGACGGTCCTGTTTATGTCTAGTCTGTTATGATTGTCGTTTTATTTATTTTTAAACTTATATTGTAAGGGTATCACGTCGAGATGCAATTAGTATGGAATATTCATTGCACGTGTTCCTGCATTAGGCATATCTGTCAAAGCAATTCAATGTGATTTTTCTGTAGGAAAATGTTGCCAGCACATAGACATTAAACTCGAAGTGTAAGCAATTTGATGGCTGCCCAAGGAGTTCTGACTGTTGTGTCGCTTTAGTCTCTGTGCATATTGTAAATAAATCTTAGGTAAGTATAAGTCTATAAAACACTTTCCGCCTTATGAATGGTGACCTATATGTGTACAGTTGAGTTTTATTTTGAACAAAGTACGCATAAGGCCCTGCGTAGGGCTCACTTACTGCCATTCTGGTCGCGCCTCAGCTTAAATAGGATACATAAGTTGAACCCATTACTTGAGACGGAAAGGATCCAGGCGACCTTAGTCTTACAGTAAATGATGATTTAAACGTACTTATACTTCGGTGCCCTTATTTGCATGAAACAATACGCGCATTATTTTTACATACGTGTAAATACAATGAATCCATACGCTTTGTTAAAAATAAGAGTGTTAATGTGTTTGTCAATTTTTTAACTTTTGGAGATTTTTAAATCATAGACATGTAACAATTTAAGGTTTGTAAATAAATATTTAGATATTAGTGAAATGAGATTATACTAATGACCGATTGGCTCCAGTTGATGGCGCGGTTGTGACTTAATTTGTGTGTAGACTTCAGCTAGTTTTGTTTTTATTTACACCAAAATGTCTAATCTCTGGAGCCAGTTGTAATAATCTTTCAAAGAACTCAGTCAGCTATTGTATAGAGATACAATTATAAGAAAGAAAGAATCATTGGTATTCTTATTGGATTCTAAAATTTTATTTTTATGTACTGCAGACAGGATGAATCATGTAAAATATAATATTTTCTTACAAACATGACATTAAAATTGCCAGATTTAATAAGAAAATATATGAGTGCAATGTGCAGCACTTTTAATATTAAAACAATTCTCGTCATAGGTACCTATAAAATTTATATTTGTTCAACTTAAAGCCACCGAAACAACCTAAGTAAATAAGTTAGGATAATGATTCATCCTGTAAAATTAACTCATAATTATTTTCCTACACTTCCCAAATAATTTATAACTTTATTACTAATAATATTATTATTATGTATATAAATAGAGTACTTATATTGACCATGTAAGAAGAGTACATGTTAAACCGAAAACACGCACATTGACTTAATAAGATTTTATGTCCATAGCATTATTTTTTATTGAATACAATTTTTGCAATAATTTTACAGACATGTTTGTACTTACTCATTTTTTAAATCATATTATATAACATTATATATATTTATAATGTTTAAATTCAATATTTTGAATGATCAAGGATTCTCAATGGACCTATAATAGTTAAAATGGAGTTGTTGTTGCATACTGTAACAGTGTGAGGTTTTTACTGTTTATTGAAGTAGATAAGTAATTTGTACTATGGTAAGGCACCACGCATATAATTTTGTTACATAAAATCAACCAGTGGAGTTGATGGTGATGAGATTTTAACTTGTTTTTTAAGAATTTGATTGAAAAGTGTCAAAATGTGTAGATCAATCTATCTTATTCTTGCCTTATCGTGCACACGGTAACTCACTATGTTAATTTTATGTTATTTAGAAACAAAATAAATATGACGGCAGAATTTAAATTTGAATCAGACACAATCACTGTAACTAAATATTTTAGCTATTTAAGAAGGTCTGGGTTAAAAACGATGTTCAAGTAAGTAAAGATGATGCTTTAGAATAATGTTGTGATAGTTTTTATGTGATACTCATAGTCCAGGATTGGCTTAGATTCACCTAAATTCTAAATCCGAAGCAATAGTGAACTGGTTTCAAGTATCACATTAATTGAATATTTAATTACTACCGACTGTCTTACGGTTACTGCAACGCACGCAGTGTGCAACCCAAAGTGCTGCGGTTGCGGGTTCGTTCGATAGCTGAGGGAAAATGTAGTGATGGCACAAGCAATCAAGGTCATGGGTGTATTTATACTATACCAAACTTTTTTAACTAGGTAAATTGGTGCGATAGTTGGAACCATTTATTTATTATTATTTTAATTCAGTCAGTCCTTTGCTATCAGTAATATGTATCGTAAAATGAGTAGAATCCCCAAATCTTACCAACCCTTTAAACCATTTGCGGTACTTATAAAACCACATTATGTATCACGAACATTACAACTACGAGTCATGATTCAGATTTTGTTTCTTTTCTACTTACGAAGCATCCTATAGTCCTGTCTTCCTTGTAAGAAAGTGAAGTAATAAGTAATATCAGTGAACAGTGACCACAATAACCACTGGCATAGATAGTGCATATTTAGTTGTTTACATTTTGCTACTTATGCCCTCTGATAATGTGACTGATTCTGTGTGCAAACTGTTTGCCCTTTTATTCATCATTTTTGTTAGTTCCATACCATGACATAATGTTGAAAAGTATTGGAAAAGTGTACTCTAGGGCGCGTACAGTTTTGGTACGCCCATATCGTGTGTTATAAAAATTCAAAAATCAATAAATTGCCTATCATTTTGTAAATATATTTTATTTGGATCTACGAATAATTGTACAGTAATTTTTAAAATAGAATTTTATCTAGGGTATTCGGCCATGAATATAATAATAATCGAAGCCGCTAGAACATCACAATTAGTTCACGGGAGACTGCTGCTATTGTATATTAATTTCATTTGTAAATGTTACTTACGTGTTACTTATATCGGCGAGAATGATAGCAAGTTGTATTTAAGAATATTTTATGAAGTCTAATAGAACGACATCAGTGGTCTTAAACTTGTGCATAGTTTATTTTGTATTATGTGAATAAATAACAAGCAATAATAAAATTGTTATCAAGGAAATCAATTTTTATTATAAACTAACAGTCCCCCCTATTCATAGATCTAACTTAAGAAATAGTCAGGAATACTAATTGTATTTATTATTTGTTAATTCTAGGCACTGCCCATGAAACCTAATATTCCTTTTAAACAAGAAAAAAGAATAAAATGTGTAGGTAAAAGTAAAAGATATAGTTTGCATTATGAGTATCATTTTATTGACTGTAATTATGGCATACATTTCATACTAAACCTATGTTACAGAAATGTTAAAATAAAGTTTAAATTTAAAATTATGGTCATACAAAAAATACTTCAGTATTATTTGCAGATAGGAGATGAAAATCCTCGCATTTCCGAGTTCATATAATGGGCGACAATTATTGCCGCATATTGTAAGCATCTAAACCCATTTATTTTTCTCCTCAGAGATAAGTTTAATGTGTAATCATTGTTTCACCCATAAAACTAAGATATGGAGAAAACGAATAACTAACTAAGCCCATTTGAAAGGTTCCAACAGTTCGCTAAAAAATATTCTTTCGAACGCCACTCAGATTTTGAACTTTAATCACAACAAATCAGGCAATTTCATCACTTGAAATCACAAATGTAGTGTTTTAATACAAAGTTTAAATGGATAATATTTTTTCATAGAAACAATCAAAGTTGATAAATCCCTGTGCCCAAGCTCAGTCATTTGATATGTTTCAATATAACTGAAACTTTGTACTTCTAGAAATTGATTTACATCAAATGGTACTTTTCTGACTTTTCATGGGATTAATCATAAAATTATCACATTTACAGATCATACATTGGTATTGTATCTTGAAATGTAACAGTGAGAGTAATTAATTAATGATATAATGAATTAATGATACATTTTAATTATCTATTTAAAATACTGTTATTCTATGGCAGGCTGTACATACATTCATTCTAACACCACTCTCAAAGTTACACATTAATAAATCTACTTTTGTGCTTATCAAGTCTTTCATAATGTTATCATAATTAATAATCTAAGATAATCTTAAATATAATGTTTTAACAACTATGATAAAACAATTACAATGTTTTTGGGGCAAACATTACATACGATTACTAGATACATATTGATACAGATTGATGTAATAAAAAAATCAAAATGCAATTTGAAACAAATACATTGATTATGATGGGCAGCAGACATTGACTAACCCCCAAATCAAAATATACTTTTCATAACAATAGCAAACAATGATTATCTCTCTTAAATATTAAAATAATAAAAAAACTTTATTTAATCAAACAAAAAGTGAAAAATATTATGTAAAAAGTGAAATTATACATTAAAAATACCGTATGTATTAAAAAGGGGTTAGTGTTTTATAAAAATTGTCTTATCACAGCTATTTGTTTATAGTTACAGAATAGTTATATTCTTAAAATTAACCGTAATCAGTGCCAAATGTAGTCAATCCTTTATTTTGTATGGCAAATGAAACAGCAGCATCCATAAAATCAAAGTGATTCTCAGCATTATTGTCCTCACCATCAGATTGCATATAATTTTCATGGGGGCAAACATTGTCATTAAAGTTGTGAAATGAGTTTGAGGACTCAGGGAAAAATGGAAATGGTGCTGTATCATTGCTTTCATTTTTCTTCTGACTGTCTTCATATAACCATGATAAATCATGGGCTGTTTCAGCAGCAGCAAATTGATGTGTAACATTGTCAATTATTTCTGGACTGCTGGGTGGAGAAGGAAATTCACTTGGTCTACGTTCCGAGTAGAAAGGATTTTCTCTGCCTGAATGAGTTTGACTGTTGCTACTAGATCCTGATGCATTTTGGAGTCCATGTGCTGATATGGCCATAAGTATGCCTTCATTTTCAATAGAATTGTCTCCAGGTAAATTATTGATGAACTCTGCAACATCTAGTGCAAGAAACCTCGACTCGTTCATGTTAGGTGGCAGCGGTGGATGGAGCCATGAGTCTAACACACGATTTATGGTGTTGTCCACAAAACCTTTAGCCATCTGAAACAAATGTAAGTATAATTAAATTGTTTGCAGGTTATTTCACTAAAAACACTTAAGACACCAAAGTGGATGTATTGTCTCTATTTGTTTTTTGTTGGTGCACAAGTGGTTGAATAAGTATTATTTACCTGTCTAGCTTGCCATCTAGCTATACACTGATCTTCACAGTAGCTATTAGAAACAACCATGGACCTGGGTGCTACAACATGATTGTTAGCTCCAGAAGTGGACTGCAGTGCATTTTGGTACCTATTATTGTCATATGAGCTCACATATCTCGGATATTGCAGCGTTTCGGGAGTCACACTTGCACTTGGCGTGAGCAGTGATTTGTCAGAGTCGGTTATCACAGAATCTAAAGTATTGAAATCTTGCTTCAAAAGGTAGTCTCCCAATATCTCTAAATTCTGCTCAGTGTTACCTACTAAGGCATTAGAGTTACTAATGGTCTCCGAGGAGGGTCCAGCCCTCTCAGATTCGTTGTTTAGCACCGCAGAAGACTTATTTGATTCGTTTTTCAAGTGATATTTGCCTTTAACTTGCCACGCAAAACGTGCTTTCTTGAGTGGGCGCTCCGATCCAGTTGAACCGTCGCCATTTTCTTGTCGCTTCGAGGATGACTCTCCATTGGAATCGGATATATTCATTTTAACTACGATTAAAGACTTCAGAAAATTTTTAGTTTTCCCAAAATTGTCATTAGTAAACAAACACTGACATCACTAATTAATAACATATGATTGAATGACAAGTAGTAATTAGTGGTTTTTAACTAACTTTTCTACTGTATAGAAGAGAAAACATTTGTTTTTCAACTTTTTCTGCTTCCTTTAATACATATTTTGAGATTCTATTTAAATAATTGCAGAAAAAATTAATTTTATTTGATACTGCTGTCACTCACACACATACACTGACACACTATTTTTTCTTGCTTTTTTTTCTGGAACATCTGTCTTGTCTATGCTTTTTTTCAATGGACTTCGAGTATAGGTGTACCAGAATCTCATGGCAAACAAAAATATTGGAAAAGTGTGTTTTTCATATGGCAATTGTCTATGGTTTAACTGTCACCTGTCAAAGAAAATTATGAAACCTGTCAGCCGCTGCAAAATTTTTGTAATCTCTTCTTGACTAATTGTTATTTTTCTGAAAAAGTCGAAAAAGTTCAAGCAAAGCATATTGTTTTCAATGTGAATTGTAAAATAAGGCATAATTCAAAGTCAATCTTTGATTCTAAAGCGCGTCGTCGAATTGACAGTTAGTTGGACTGAAATGTTTTGATACATTTAGTTTATTACCCAACTGCGTCAGAAGGAGGGTTGTGTTTTTTTTATGTTATTCTTACTTAATAGCTGCTTTATCGGGGTTTTCAGGTATATCTCACAAATTGGTGCAGATGTTATGACCATGTAAAGAAAATTGAAAAAGATTTCATCAAAGAAAGATTGAATAATGAAGAAGTTTCCAATTTTTTTCTTTTAAATAAACTTGAAATAAATATAAGTAAAACTAATAATAATTGTGAAATAATCATGAAAATATCTCTACAAATAAATAAGTTACAGGGCCCTAAAGTTGCACATAACTATTCACGCCATTTTGATCGGTGTATTCACGACAGTCATTCGGAGTACAAACAGTAAATCACCCCTGATCCAGCCAGTGCTGTTGACAGGTTCATTTTTTAAAATCTAGCAGTTATTAATTTTTCAGTAAGGTCACTCAAGATTCTTTCTTAGTAAAATTTTGTAACCTTTTTTTAAAATATCCCAGACCTGGCCATATACAAAAAGAACGGCACCGCCTATGTTTCAGTTCCACGCGAAAATATGTAGGTAATATAAATAATTTATTTCTCAGACATTTCTTGATCGATTTAAATAAAAACTTCACCGTCTTTTTAGTTTTGGTATATATTTTAATCCCATTCAGAGAAATATAGTGTTTTAACATCAGGAACTTCTCCATTGAAATGCTGGAAGAGCAATTTATTTACAGTACCTCTTTATCTTGATCATCTGTCTATTGAAGAACAAGAAATGCAAGTGGAGTTCTTAGAATCGTTTTCTAGTTCTGAATGAAGTGATAAGTTAAAAGTATGATGCATAATAAAATTAGTTACTTAAAGTAATATACGATTTAATTTCCAAGACATTTACCTATGTTAAAAATCTGATGTCTAACAACATTCTTCATACACATACCTACCTAAAATGTATATTCGTACTTCATGTTCATTAATATTAAAGTAATAAAAGTAAAAAATTAAACAGTATCAAGATCGTTTATTCCAATTTCCCCAGTATTGCTCTCAACAAAGTTTATTTTCCCTATTTGCCATGAGATTCTGGTACACCTATAATATAACTGGAGACGACTTTGCCAACCGGTTACCATACTCTTCAGTTACCGTTTCTACGAAAAATTAATAACCGTAGAGACCTTTAAATCAAAATAAAATCACAGGGCACAATGACTGTGTCTACTACAAATTATGACCATAAATGGTTTAATAAGACCATCTTTGTTTAAAAGTACCTATAGCCTGACCAGGAACATAAAAACCCTCGCCATGTTGCGGAAAACTAATGGTACTAATTTCTTTTAATGGCAACAGTAACTGAAAACTTCATTGACATGTCACCTTGCATGTCAGTCTATTGTTGTCAAAGTGTAAACAAACTTTATTTCAAATGTGTGCAATTGATTTTGTGAATTAATTGCTAAAATATTTTTATAGTCGTGAAAGAAAAGTGGTTCACAATGTGTTAATGTATTTGTCGAAGAGAAATACTAACGGTTCGGACAATATTTTCATTGAATAATGTTTCCGACAAAGGTTGTCAAATTGACTGACATGTTTATCGTATAGTACAGTCCACTATGAAAATTAGCTTATAGCCTGACCAGGAACATAAAAACCCTCGCCATGTTGCGGAAAACTAATGGTACTAATTTCTTTTAATGGCAACAGTAACTGAAAACTTCATTGACATGTCACCTTGCATGTCAGTCTATTGTTGTCAAAGTGTAAACAAACTTTATTTCAAATGTGTGCAATTGATTTTGTGAATTAATTGCTAAAATATTTTTATAGTCGTGAAAGAAAAGTGGTTCACAATGTGTTAATGTATTTGTCGAAGAGAAATACTAACGGTTCGGACAATATTTTCATTGAATAATGTTTCCGACAAAGGTTGTCAAATTGACTGACATGTTTATCGTATAGTACAGTCCACTATGAAAATTAGCGTAGTCTGTTTCAACTACCTATTTTAAAGTTTTTTGTCACTTTCTAAGTTTTGAATTTTATGGAATTGGGAAAGAAGTACCGAGTTTGAAGCGTTCATGAGCAGACATTGCAGTTGAATATTCAAGTTTTGAATTTGATTATTGATGAATAATAAAATAAATCCTACTAGCTCGATTGATGGTTTCATTTAATTTATTTAAACCAGGTTACCTTTAATAATATTTTTTCATTAAGTTATGAAAATATCAAATTAGCCCGTAATCCTGAATCCTGATACATAAATTGAGCCTATTAATTTAACACATGTACGACTGTACCTACTCAGTGTTGCACTTTCAAATGCAATTGACGCGCCTCTATGTCAGGGTTTTTATGTTCCTGGTCAGGCTATACCTACCATGCATAATAATTGAAGATAGAAGAATAACATTTGCTAAATAAATACCAAGAAAAGATAATATGTACTACCCGTTCCCGCTAAGTTTGCCGGTCCGTGGAATGCGCGTCGCCTCCCCCAACCGCGATTATTATAAACGCTATTAGTTAGGTAGTTATTAAACGCAATTAATTAGTTGTTAAACGCAATTAATGTATCTTATTTTACGCAAATACACAATTTTTATCAAAAATAATAAATAAAAAATATTTTAAATTAGTTATAGTTTGTTGTTATAGACGCTTCCCTTCAAGTGACGTCATATCGCCAGCGGCAAACTTAAAGCGAACGGATAGTAACTGAAAGCATTATTGGCAAAATAATGGTCAAAACAATATTACATATTAAAAAATATTCTTCAACCCCTTCACTGGCCCACTCTCCACATCACACGGCATAGTGATCACCATGCACCATCGAAATTATAGAAAGTACCTACTTACCTACAGTCAACAACACAATATTGTTGCAAAAGATTACAGCCCAATATGATGCAGAGGGTACCAATAACAATACTATCTTATCCTAACTTATTTAGGGCCGCGCATGGGCGCAGTGCACGTCGACCCATTGGGATCTTTTGTGCTTCCCTATGCCTTTATCCCCCCTCATCCGCAAAGATCCTATCCATATAGTGGATCAAGAGCTTGGGTGAGAAGGACCTATATTCTTCTGGTGTCGGATAAGCCGACCCCAGGAGACCCATTCTAGTTCTAGCTAGCGCGTCACATTCGCACAGTAGGTGTTTCATGGACTCCGCATGTTCTCCACATGCTCGACAGCTGTCATCCGTAGTTAGGCCCATTTTGTGGAGCATGTGGTTTGTAGTGTAGTGTCCTGTCAGCGCACCCGTGATCACTCGGGCTTGCCTTCTGTTTCCATTGAGTATGAGCTTTTCCCATGATCTTGTGTTTCCAACTAGGAATAGTTTGGAGTGGCTCATACCGTTGGAGCTTTCCCATTCAGCTCTGTGCTTCCTGGATATATATTGCCTCATGGCCATGTGTAAAGTGCTCATAGATAAGGGCACTATCGGCTCTGGCCCAATAGGTGCCGCCTCTGACCCTTGTCTCGCTAGACTGTCGGCTCTCTCATTGCCTTCGATTCCAGTATGTCCAGGTACCCACATGAGGGTCACCCTGTTGTGCCTTCCAAGTTTATTCAGTGCCAAGATTGCCTCCAGAACGAGTCTGGATCCAACCCTCACTGAGGCAATGGCTTTGAGTGCTGCCTGACTGTCACTTAATATGTAAATGTCACGCTTTTTATGCGCCTGTTCTATATTCCTTACTGCGCACATGATTATAGCATAGGTTTCAGCTTGAAACACTGTTGCAAACCTCCCTAAGCTTTCACTGTGCTCAGATTGTTTGGAGTAGACGCCCGCTCCTGTTCCTGAGTTCATCTTGGAGCCGTCAGTATACCAGATCAGGCTGTCTTGTTGACGTTTTAGTCCTCTTTTCCAGTCTTCCCTTGTTGGTATAGACACTTTGAAATCCTTGCTAAACATGTACCTAGGCTGCATTGTATCACAACCCATGTCCATTATTGCATCTAATTGAGGATCGCTCCCCATCCTTGTGTGCTTGGTGCAAGGTTTGGATGTACTCCAAAGTCCCGCCCCCTTCAGTCTGTGCAGCGCCTTCCTTGCATCTACTTCTAGCGCCAAGTGCAGTGGGGGCAATCCCAGAATAATCTCCAATGCTGCAGTTGGCGTAGTTCTAAACGCACTCGTTATTGCTAGGCATGCAGTTCTTTGCAATTTGCCCAGTGCCGTTCTGCACGTCTGTAACCTAATTCTAGGCCACCAGACAATGCTGCCATAAAGTATTATTGGTCTCACCATAGTTATATAGATCCACCTCATCACTCTGGGACTAAGTCCCCATGTCTTCCCGTATGCACCACGACACATTCCCAGCACTCTCATAGCCTTAGCTATGACCGTATCTTGGTGTTTACGCCATGTAAGTTCCTTATCTAGGATTACCCCTAGATATTTCACTTCATTGGTCCAGGTTATCTGTTTACCATAAAGGTAGAGATGTCCTAGCCCTGTTGTATTTCTCATTTTTGTAAATGCAATAGCATTCGTTTTTCCCGGATTCACCGAGAGGTGGTTTTCGTCACACCACTCTTCCAGTGTGTTGAGGGCTCTTTGCATGATGTCTGTCACAATAGTTGGGAACTTGCCCCTTACCATAATTACCAAATCATCTGCATATCCAACCGTGTAGAGTGGTCCTTTGTTAAGTTTCACAAGTAGTGAGTCCACGACCAGGCTCCATAGCAAGGGTGAGAGTACCCCCCCTTGCGGGCAGCCCTTGACAGTCCTTACACTCATGCACTCTCCTTGCAGTTCTGATTGAATAATCCTCCCTTTAAGCATACAGTCTATCCACCGGCATAGAGGTAGTGGTACCCCGTGGTCAGAAGCAGCAGCTCCTATAGAGACGAAGGTAGTGCGGTCAAATGCCCCCTCTATGTCGACAAATGTCCCAACAGCAACCTCCCTACTCTCAAGAGCCGCCTCCGCCCTGCCGGTTACATAGTGTAGCGCAGTTTCTGTAGATTTCCCTGCCTGGTATGCACATTGAAGCTCATGTAGAGGAAATCTTTTTAGTGGTCCTTGTCTTATGTACTTATCTACAATACTAACTGTTACATTATTGTCGTTAAGTTCTGTTACATATGTACCTACATGCATGTCGCGGGCGGCCGCTGGTGTAGGTAAAGGTCGATCCATTCAGTGGTTTGGGCTGTGCGTTGATAGATCACTATGTCAGTCAGTCAGTCAGTCACCTTTGAGTTAAATATATTTAGATTTTTAAACGGAAACTAGTTGAATTTCCTGGGTAATGAACCTATTCCGTATTCACCATACCGTGAAATCACAAAACCGAAGTCCTACCGAACCTCAAAGACTAAGTAGTAGATACATCTACCTACAATATCATAGTACCTTCCATAATATCTATCTACCGTAAATAACATACCAGAAACTATATAATTTATACTTACTTACCTAATTACTTATGCTAAGTTATGGGATTTTAATTGTAGTATAATGCAGCTAGAATCTTTAATTTACACAATCCTCATCATCTACTGATGATGAGGATATAAATGGACCATAAAATTTTTTTTTTCTCTGAGTAGGCTTTTAAAGAGCACACACACTCGTCCCGATATTATACAATTACATATTTTATGCTTTAAATAAGTGTACGTAAAAATAAGCGTAAAAAAGTACTTAATGCAAACGACCTAAGTTATAGGTACGAGGATTGAATACCTAACCTACAGAATCGCGTCATCAAAATGTTCGAAAGGGATGTTTGTGAGTCACAAATTGACAATATTACTTATGGTGCTGACCACAATACTAAGTATCAGGTTTGGACTAAGTACCTACCTACTTGAATGATTCATATCCCTGGAAATGAGTCCTTCTTTGTCTATTAATGAATAATTGTAGATATTATCACCAATTAATGTAATTACTTTCAATAATCGTCCATTAGGCCCACTTAAAACGTAGCGCGGTGTCAGACGAAATCCGTTCTAACGACTTATCTTTAAGGAGCCCTCCATTCAATCCTAATCACCACACAAAGAGGGGAGAATTCCCGGTATGGGCTAATATGATGATTGCCGCAGTCAGTCGGTCCCTATTCGTTGGTCGGAAACCCAAATATCACACGGTTACGTTACGCTCAAGTAGCAATTGAAAATTAATTTGAAGCTGTTTGTTACGAAGTGTCTCTAGCAGATAATTAACTACTTTAAAAATGCAGGTATGTGAAATCATATTTTGAATTGGAGATTTGACTAGTGCTCTAAAATAAACTAGAAGATTTAAAAGATAGTTTGGTGTGTGAGTGTGACGATGACGTCGCATTAGTTAATGTAAACAAATAAAACTGCAGTTAAAGTGAACAGCAGACGTAGTTCACATACGTTATTCTCCTGTTTTAACCTAGTCCTGCAACTTTCTTATCTTTAAAGCTGATAACAAATTGTTTATGTTCACTTTCTCGCTAGTGTCCTGTCTGTAATCAAAACTTCTACGAAAATAAAGCGTCATTAAGTACCTACGTTAAGTAGGTAATTGTTGAATAAAGTTTTGGAAGCTTCCGCTTGAAGTCTGTCTGTCTGTATGTATGAAACAGGTTTTACCTTTCTCAATAACGTCGTTGACGCCAGCAATAAGGAAAAGGATTCTTTTATTTCCCAAGCATCGTATTTGAGGCTTACGGTGTGTAAACAGTTATTTATGGCTACAATTATGTAAAACCGAGGTTTTGTCCAAAATTAGAGTCCTCCTTTTTATGGATGTCTTTATTAGAAACAAAAATTATTAACGTTATTAAAATTCATTTGAGAAGTTTGTACTGAAGTTATAAATAACATGCGCTCTACACGAGCTTTCTTGAAAGCGGTCAAACTTTAAGTCTTGATTTCGTTTTGTACTACATAGTTAAAAAGACCGGTGCTATTTTTTCTATTTTCAGAAGTTAATAATCTTGGCTCTGGTGTGTACAATGGGGTGGAGCGTCGTGGTGGCGGCGCCCCAAATGACCGACGCCCAGTTGGACCAGACCCTCACAGACCGTGCCACCATGCAGAGGCACCTGAGGTGTGCCCTCCAGGAGGGTCCTTGCGACCCTGTCGGCAAAAGACTTAGAAGTAAGTAGATTTCTAGACTTCAGACATACACATACCACGTTATACTAAACGAACGTGGTAATTTTTAAGCGTTTTCGTAAACGTAAAATAGCATTAAGCCCTGACAAGCTAATGTAATCTAAATCTTGTACAATCAGAAAATAATGTTGTATTGAATTTCAACAATGTAGTTAAGTAATTTCAAATTTAATAATAAGGACGTGAAATACATATTTTTATGTTCTAAGTATTGAAGTGTTGTAATAGAATATTTTATGATCCATTGTTAGTCGCATAAATAAATTGAATTTGAATCAACCTCATATCTCTGACGTGTTTTCTACGTCTCGACGTGTCGTCTCTAGAGCGGTCTCGCGCTACCTCCTAGGTTCGATTCCCGATAGCACGCGCTAAGTCATTCATCACTTTACCGTTGCATTATGGAACATGAGTCAGGCAAAACGATTCAAAATTAATGTTTCTTTTAAATAAGTAACTATGTACAATGTAAGTACATTCACATAGAGTTAGCTCTATATTCTTTGACAATAAAAGCCGACCTAATGATTGAGAAAACACCGGTCACATTTATGTTAATTTAACTTACATGTACATACCTACTTCCTAGCCCATGTTACATGTAAGTTTCTTATTACATTAAGTAATACCATGTCACAATTTACACGAAACATATTTTTGAATGCCTATTCCCTTTAATAAGTACTTTAAATTTATTAAAATTAATAGGTAACCGAAATATTTTCATAGTGTCAAGAAAAATAAATCTTTTCACTTTCCCGCTAAAACGTCCGGAAGTCGACCTAAACTTTTCAAGCGAGGTGCACGCGTTACAACACCGAGTTACCTATTTTGATTGTCTAGCTTAATTTACAGTGCCCTTGAAATCGAATCACGAGTCATTCATCGCATTGGCAACCTCGAATGACATTTTTAAGAGAAAGCTTACAATTTTAACAGTTTTATTTTATAAAAAATCGAATCTCCGGGTGTTGCTCTCTAATAAATCAAGGACGACGCTACCGCTGCCCTCATTTTAGTCAATAATTCAAAGATCAAAAAGATATTACCCAGCAGAAGATCTAAAGAATCACAAAATTCGGGCACAATAGGAACCTGTCAAAATGCTATTCACCTATAGATTTTGTATGGTAAAAGTAAGCCATGCATGACATCACACTAATTCACCTACTAAATTAACTATTAATTATGAAAATGTTTTTTTTATGCATAAAAAGGAAGGTATTTGACCGGCATTAATACCTAACCTACCTACTAAAAATTCTAAACTAAATAGTTCAATCGGGTTCAGTACCTCTAGTAGGAAAAACTTTCGAGTTCGTTTCGTTGCGTATTCAAAGTGTCATCGAAAAATTTTGTATGAAAAATTAAACAGCGCCCCTAGGGCGGCTATAATATAGGGGGCGCTGTTTAATTTTTCATACAAAATTTTTCGATGACACTTTGAATACGCAACGAAACGAACTCGAAAGTTTTTCCTACTAGAGGTACAGGATTAGAATTACTTAAATCTTAAATCATAAGGTCGTAGAGTGATTGGCAACCAAAAACAAAAATAACAAGCTACAAAATTTTCTAAGAATTTTTAAAATAAACAAGTTTCATCTAAAAATTATGTAATGTTTAACTTTTTCCCAGTTCTCGCTCCGTTGGTTCTCCGGGGCACCTGCAGACAGTGCACTCCCCAAGAAACCCGCCAGATCCGGTACACCCTCGCATTCGTCCAGCGGAACTACCCCTGGGAGTGGGCCAAGCTCATCCGCCAGTACGGCTGAACTCGACCTAGTAATGTTCACCTTCAAAATGCCATATCTTAAAAGTACAACAATTAATTTATAAGTAGTGTAAAATCAAATAATTGCTAATTTTATGTCAATTAGTTTACGTAAACCCGGTCAATGTTTAACCTGGTTTTGTCATTCGTTACTCCTAAACGGATGTTAAAAGTGACCCATAAGGAAAATCCGTATTTTTTATTTGCTTTTATTTTAGAAAATTGATTAATTTCTTTGCTATTAACATTATTCTGGAGTTTAAGTAACTTAATTGTGGTTTAAAACCATTTATCAACACATTGACAATATTTAATTTTGATTTAGAGCGCCCTCGATACCTAAATGTAAGTAGATTTAATTTATCTTGTTTGTCATTAGATACTTACCGTGATCTAATTAATGCAATACTTAGTTGAAATAAATTATTATTACGATGCACAAAGTTTTTTCCTCCAATAAAATTGCCCCTACGTAATCTACGCATCGCTCTACCTAACCTGTATCAACAATCTTGAAAGAATCTCGTAGATAAATGGCAGTACCACCACGAAGTCTTGAGTTGCGAACGAAAAGCGATCGAAATCGCACACTGAATAAGGCCCGCGAGTATTGCTCGAGTGCAACGGAGCCAAAAAGGGGGGATTGGCAGAGTTAAGTAAGAGGTTACGGCACACCAAGCCCCAGCACTCGCCACCAAGTCGCTCGTGTAAACGCTTCACTGCTCCCAACACTGTGAAATACTTTAGAAATCATAATTCCGAGATCCGGGTCAATCGTTAGGAACACTCAGTGCAAGGAAAGTAAAAGTGCCACAGTGGGAGATCACCGCTAAGATGCAGGTAAGCTGTGTATTGCAATTTCTCCGTAATAAACGTTTTCCATTTGCGACGTTTCGTTTAATTTTGCACGTAGATTGTTGAACTGCGAAGGACGGTCAGATTTAGTGCCTGGTCCCTTTACCTAAGTTTCGAGCTACGCTACTTTATTATGCACGTCAGGTTTTAATCGCCTACATGCCATTTTTCCTCCTCGCTTGCTCGTAGTAAGTATGAATAGTTTCACTTCGCAGACATCATTGGAATTCTTTTAAAGTATCAAGTTATCTGATCGTGAAAAATCCACAAAATAACAAACTAATTTCACCTGAAAAAAATGGGTTAGGTAAATAGGTACCTACGTTTCACAACACCTGTCAAAGAGAATTAATATCCGTTTCAAAATGCTAACCTACTTACTTTGTTCAGCTCCTTACGTTAAATACATTAAGTTAAGTATAGAAATAAATGCTAAGAATACAAAAATGTAGATAAATAAACATTCCTGAAACTTATGTTTTCTGAAAAAGTCTAATAAAATGAATGTAGAGTTTGGCGGGAAATAGAGCAACCACAAAGATTCCACAGTTGAAGATAATCAAAATATTCTAATCCAATCCAATGAATGCTGTGTTGTGTATTTTCTTACTTAATACCACAACATTAGCGGATTGTATAATCCCGCGATGTGCTGCGATGAGGCGTAACCTCTGTCTGAATGGGCAATCTCTTTCAAGCTCACAAGGCGATTTGTTGCTTGCACTTCCGAATTCACGTAATCAAAGTTTGATAACTTTTAAGTCACGTTACGGCACTACGGGCAGTTTGATACCGATATCGCAAAACAAATACTAAATGTCTGACTAATAAACAAACTAAGTACTTAGGTAACTAATTAACATAATTAATATTATATGTTATTGTTTTGATGAAAAGGATTGAGGTTGTTAGCCTATGTTGATAGATCTCTATAAAATTCTACATTTTAAAAGAGGAAGATGAAATAGCGAAATAATTATCCTATATAAAACCACTCAAGAAAACTCCAAGAATAAAATATTGTCAAACGAAAAAACCGCTATTAAGTAAAGTAGGCGAAGGGCGGCAATTTTGTATGTTCATGCGGCAGTAATGTAGAAGTAATTTTGCTGAACTCGTGAGAAAAATATGATGTTAGAGTTTAGAGTCATGCATTTGGGCACGGATCTCATAACTTTGTGTTACATGGCCACATCGTTCCATGGTCAAAATTGGGTTTCCGTCAAAAATAAATAGAACATTAATGTACAACAAATAGTAAGGTATCTAATTTGTTATTACAGAGAAATAAGTACTTAAGTAAGTACTGCTTTTTCAATTGGTGCTTGTTGCTGTAGTCAAAAATTGCAGTCAGTTGAAGAGTTTATCTGTAGTTTACTTAGGTAAGTTATTCGTTTTCGGTTTCAATATAATCTGTAGCCAGGTAAAGTTTATGAACGTTACCTTAACCGGTTTTAATAACTGCACAAAGCGAGATCTCACAGTCATTTATTTCGAACACTGAAACCAAGTAAAATCATAATTACATTTTAACTATTATGTCCTATTTACGTAATAAACTTGGGTTTATCAAATCACCACGCCATTATACGTGTTTTATTTGCAAATTATTTTTATTGGAATCGTTCGTTCGTTCGTTTCAGCCGAAAGACGTCCACTGCTGGACAAAGGCCTCCCCCAAGGATTTCCACAAAGCACACCATTTTTACCTTAAATGAAATAATATAATTTAATTAGGTAAATGATTTGGTAACATCTATTTCAGTGTATAAAAACTGCAGGAGTAATGAAAGACCAAGCAATTCTAGATACCTAGGTACCTAAGTGGCGGAATTTCACCTTTTGAAACGGACAAAGAGATTTAAATTTGGATCGCGTGGTATTTAATTAAAGAAAGATGTCTTGAATAACAATAATTTGTAACACAAAAGTTTTGTTCCGAACTTTAGAACTCTGGAGCCTTATTTAAATTTTACTATTAAATATTCCTTATCGGTTTAATGTTATTCACATGTCAATAATTTTAGCTTTCATACTTATGAAAGCTAAAATTATTGACAAGTGATTCATAATGTAAATAAATAAAACATAGGTACCACGCTGTTTCGTGGCACCCCCAAGAACAGTGTATTCAAAATATTAAGTATGCAAATAAATACTGTTTCGCAAACATGGTATATTCGTAAATTCGTGTTTACAAGTAATCGTTAAGACAAGGATAATTTAATCCTAACAGAATCCGCCATGTAACTCCAAAACGAGTAACAAATGTCCTTCCAGCAACCCGGGTGTTTTTTACGTTTGCAAGTATAATACGCATATCACATGAAAATTCGCTTAGCTTTAGCTTGGGTAGATGCCTATAAGCGATAAGCTACGTTACTGTTATTTACAAGATGCGATCTACGAGTTAACATGCTACGAAAGTCCAAAAATCCTTCTAAATATCTAAAATTTTCAGTGGTTTACGCTTTTGTGGAAACTCTGTAGCTTTTTAAATCTACTAGGTTTTATAGTATGAAATTGCTGTTTTGCACGGAGAATTTAACGAAATTTCGTTTTTCTAACAAGCATTTTTGCGATTTGTTTGCAATAAAAAATGTAACTAGTAAATATTTTTTAAATAAATATTTTTTTAGCAATCGTAAAAAACATCTCACTGGACTGAAATGAAAAGGGTAGAGCCTACCCTGTATATTTTATGCCGACATACCAATCCGTTAAACCAGCATGCATCTCATTATGTCGTTCTCTATTAATAGCTCTATATTCGTAGAATGGATGAGGATGATGACGGACAGAACGAGGCCAGCTAGTGGACCTGTAGTCCAGTACAATACAGTTTTCAATAGAAACGCTACAGTTTTTTCAAAAGAATGATGTGTCAAGTCGTATTGTTAAGTGACCCACAACTCCATTATGTTTCACAGCACGTGTGGACGGTTCTCTTTGTATTGGCTGTCAATGTTTATTGCGTACAGGCTTGAGGAAAATTCAAAATAACTTTTCCAACTTTATTTTTCTGGAAACAAGACGGTGGTGCTTACATTGTATGACGTGCTTAAATGGCTTCTTGGAAAGGTACGTAGGTACATTATTGTCGTAAAATCGTGTTATTCATAGCACAGTCACACACAAATAGAACAGAACAAACTTATAAAAATGTAGAGCTTAATAATATACCTAATGGTATCTAATCTATCTCATAAATGTATAGGCCTACCATTTCCCAACTATCTTGGAATGATAACAATTTAAGTAGTTAGTTACTATAGCGCTTTCCCGATAGTTTTTCCGACCACACTTATTTGTGCACCTGTACACAAACCACAAACGTAATATTGTTTATTTGCTCACACGCACGCGTCCTCGCAGTCAACGGTTTATTGCTAAATCCTTTTGCAATTATGTCTTTAGCATATAGTGTGGAAAAGAATACTTCCTTGGCCAGTTCAATATTTGCATACGAAATGAACCTTTGTTGTTACTGGTGAAGTGGTGAGTGGTTAGGGAAATACATTTTTCAACTTAAACATCGAATAATTCTCTAAAGTGGAAAGACAGACTTAACAAAATATAATAATATAGAATTTACTAGACATAAACACGATTCTAGTAGCAGTTGGCACAGTTAGACTCTTTTGTTTTATCCAGAGCCATTGTAGACATTTTCTCTCAGGAAGAAAACTTATCTAGTTCACATGATTGTTACGTTACTATAGTCTAGCTCTTTACGTTTCAGTTATGTTCGTCTACTGTTTGTTGGTTCAATATTGTGAATGCATCGCTGAATATGGTACCTTTAGTACCTACGTTAAGTAGGTACTAGGTAGGTACTTAAATTTTACTATATTTAAAATTGAACTAATGTCGGTATGCTTACCTAGCCGCGACTTAGAGCCCTAGAATGTACATATAAATGGCAGCGCATACTTACTTTTAGTTGCATGAAAGCACATAGTAATTCATGTAAAGTGTAACTTAGACAACCAATACTGCTGGAATTTATTTATTTTTTATTTTATTTTTTGTTTGTGGGTACGCGTGTAACGCTCTGAACAATATGGGGTCTAATCGCGCGCAATCAGTCATTCGATTGCACAAACCGGTTTTGCGGGCGTCGAGACACTCTTTACGAATATTACACATTAACACAATATTACTTTACCATTACTACACACACACCTATACAAACAGTTTTATCTTTTTATTAGTATTCTTTTCATTAGTATTCTTAATAAACGTAGTCTTAACATCCTTACCGATTTACCGCCTTTTGTATTTAACTGTGCACTAATATTACTATTTATGTATGTTTATCTAGACAATTTTATGCAGCTTAGTATTTTATTTATTTTACCAAGTGAGGGTCACGGACCGACCCTCACTCGGCATGGGGCACACTGAAAACCAGCGCCGTGGCCTTCGTCACCGTGGGCCACGGCATATGCTGAGTGGGGTCCCGTTGCAGTGGGCATCTTGTTGGTGGATGGGTGGCACTGCTCAGTTTACTCTTGTTTTTATTTTTTCTTCTTCCATTATTATGTGCCACTGTCATGTCTATGTAATTGCCTGTATTTGTGTGATGTCCATTGTAATAAATGTGTCTTTCTTTCTTTCTTTCTTTTCTTTCTAACTTAAAGTGCCATAAACACTATGGCAAACTAGTACTAAGTAATGTGATTACCTAGCACGAGACTATGAGCACAGACTGGAGGTTGTGTGGTGGGTGCTATTACTAATACAATATAATGACAACATGTTTTTTTACATTACTTATTTAGGTTAAAACGTGTGTAAGTATAGTTGTACACGCTATCTAGAATCTTATGTCACTCACCAGTTACGCAAACTAACGAGAATGACACAAATCGCGTGATATTCTAGGGCCTTACTACAACAGAACACAGTAGGTACCTCTAGCATGAACAACTTTCGTCTTCGAATCGTTTGCGTATTCGACAAAATTCGATACTCAACCTTCGAATTAAACGATAACGTGATAATTTTGATTCTCAAAATAAGTTTTGTTCAACCATTTCTCATACTAAGTTCACTTTACGACACGTTCACAAGGGCGCTGTTGTAGTTTTCGTACTAAATCTTTTGTAGTTTAGGTATTAAATAGTAGAGTGGAGCAATCAATCATTTCAATTTGTCGGCCGTTTGGTGTAGTGGTTCGGAACGGACTACTATGCCGAGAGGTCCCGGGTTCGATAAATTCCCGGCCGGACAGAAATTGAAATGATGAATTTTAATTTCTGTGACGGGTCTGGGTGTTACTTACTATGTATAATATGTATGTAATGTATGTATTTAAAAAGTTGTATATTATTTATGTAGTACATTATATCCGTCATGCTAGCACCTAGCTAGATGCTACCAGGGGCTAGATGGCGCTGTGTGATATTTATTAATTTAATATTTATTTTGTTTTAGACTACGCTGGTATTATTGTTGGTTGTTGCCGCCTGCGCGTACGCCGCAGAGGCTCCGCGGCCGCAGGTGACGGACACCGCTCTAGAGGACGCGCTCAACGACAAGCGATTCATCCAGAGACAACTCAAGTGCGCGCTAGGAGAGGCTCCTTGCGATCCCATCGGCAAGAGGCTTAAGAGTAAGTTGAAACTTTCTCAAATTACCTACCTTAGCTCAGCAACTTGTCAGTTAGGTTAGATGTAGCACAGAATATAAATACTGCTGTTATGAGAAAATGGTCCCCCACTTCTGAATTCCAGTGAGAATCCGTTCCTATACCGTGCTCTTAATCTTTTTCCATAACTTCAAGTAATAGAGTGGCATTTTTGTTCTTGATTTATTACTTCCGTAAATCGGAAGTTGAGTTAGAAGTTTTTTAAATGTTTGTTTAAAATGATTGAATGTTTTGAAAAGAACATTTAGTAGAAATGCAACAATTTTAATATTCATATCTGTCTTTTTCCAGCACTTGCTCCCCTGGTGCTACGTGGAGCATGCCCACAGTGTTCTCCGCAAGAAACCAAGCAGATCCAGCGCACTCTTTCGTACGTTCAGCGAAACTACCCCCAGCAGTGGGCTAAGATCGTGCGCCAATACGCGGGCTAAAACGTCTCCGTTTCGGACGTTGAAGCACGAACTAGCTAACTTCATGTACTATTGTGTGAATACTTTGTGTTTTTGTGAAAATGCGTAGTAAACTGATTTACTGTAAGTCCACCAACCTATAGACTAGTTGTAATAATCATCATCACTTTGTATCACTCGACAAGTACATACAGTGGGCAAAATAATTCCCCAATCAGAATCACTCTTATACCTTAAATTAAAGTGTTTTTGTAAATAATAGGATAAAGAAATTAACACTTAAAAACCAAACTAACATTATATTAGGATTAAGACCTATCGTACCTTCTTCTATGACTATTTTAAAACACCTTAGAAACACATGAAATTAAAGAACGGTTTAAGTGGCTGTAGAATGATGTAAGTTATAATACGATAATTAATTAACCTAATATTTTGATTTAAATATTATTCATTAATATTTATTAAAATGGAAAACTGTACTTATTTTATGACTGGTGCTCTTAAGATCGTGACAATGCTATTTCACTAATTATTTTTAGTTGATAAAATTCATAGATCCTCTTCGCAAAGTTTTTGTTTTATAGTTTTTTTAAGTATTAATTAAATTATTATACTTAACTTTATTAAGCAAGAAAGTACACGAAAAATAAAAACGAGATTAATATAATTTTGTGTTCGATTATTTTAACCTTTTTTCGAAATTAAATGTTGAACGACAGTTTAATATTTACCGCGTGGTAATATTATATTATCTATAAGAACGGTAGTGCCCCCGCCAAGTCGAGCGCAAAGCAAACACTGCCGAACCATCCTTTACTGGAACCATTTCGCCGCATTTTCAGGCCCCTATTTGAGAACCTCTGGATAAAACCAGCACGCAGAAATGTTCGTCATATTTCGTAAGCTGTAATCACATACTTAAAATCTAAAATTTCAAGTCTGTAGGTCATTTAGTTCCGGAGTTAAGCGAAAGCAAAGTTTCGCATTTATGACACTCACTCACTGATGATCATCAAAATTGAACTAGTACTTCCCATAAACTCAGAGAGCTGAAATTTGGTACAGGGTTAGGGTTTAATGGCCACAAAGGGAAAACTATAAAAACTAGGATAATCGACGAGCTGCGTATTTCAATAATACTTATGTACGATTATCTAATAATACTTAGACGTAGCGTGGGCAGGCCTGGGAGCATTCAAGTATTACGTAACGCAATTTTTGAAGATTTTAGACTCCCCCTCCCCCCCTTGTAACGCACCGTAACGTTTTTCTGTACCCCCCCCCCTCCCCCTCTTTAAACGTTACGTAACAATCAAGTGACCATTTTTACCCTAAAGGCGCTAAAAGTTATGTTATAGTTTTTGTTCTTGGTATAGTTTTAATTGCTTTTGCGGTTATCAATTAGCTATCATACTAAAAAACAAGAGATTTTTAATCCGCAACACGTTTATTTTTCTTTAAATTTTTGGCTTTACACACACAATTTTTTTTCTCCGTCATTCCTATCCTATTTTAGCTTTTACTAAATATTAAACATGTTTATTTTAACCTTTGAGAATGCAATTATAAACAGAAACCCAACTGAAATTAAACATTTTACTCGAAATAAAATCGTACTCTTAACAAAATTAAAAAATAATCAACTATTAACCAAATATCTAAGTAGGTCTATAAAAAAATTGGATTGAAATTAACGTTTTGATTTAAGTTTTAATAACCTAAATTTTTATTAAAAAAAAAGAAACAATGTTACGTAACGTCTTGTAAGAAGGTCCCCCTCCCGCCCCTGTAACGCATCGTAACGTTTTATGAGACCCCCCTCCCCCCAAATTGCGTTAAGTAATACTTGAATGCTCCCCCTCCTACTAGGTGGACCAACGATCTGGTAAAGGTCGCGGGAAGAGCCTGGATGCGGGCAGCGCAGGACCGTTCATTGTGGAAAACCTTGGGGGAGGCCTTTGTCCAGCAGTGGACATCATTTGGCTGAAACGACGACGATTATCTTAATAAAGATTGTTCAACGGCCAAGTCACACAACATTAACTATGATAATAATCGCAGTAAGGAACCATAGACTTGGCACGACTTTGTCTAGATTTCAATACTTTTTAGAGATAAACAAGCAGCTCCATCGAGACTTGGCTAGTTTTTTACAGAATGTTTTTGGTGGGATTATGTTTATAACATAATTTAGGCCCAGCCACAGACCATGGTCTGTTGCCCCAGCCTTCTTTGGCAACAAGTTAATATTAATTACAAATACATTATCTTCGATTATTTTGTTCTGCTTGTTCAAAAATACTACTTGCTATTGACAAGAGTAAAAATATAAATAAGTACCTACCTTGATCAAATTCATAATAAGGAGAAGTATCTTCTAGTGATTCTGTTTTAATGGAAAAGATTATCGAACCATCAGGCTATCATGGGTGTGGTGTGGACATCATGTCTACGTAATTTAGGTAGGTAGGTAGATAGAGGAGCGAAAGAAAGAAGAGATAAATAGGCGCCAAATAGCAAGAGGCACAGATAAAAAGATTAAAATTAAATGTGATTATTAAAAAAAAAGACTAACACTATAGTCGATGGTAGCCATATGGTCACCTTAATGGCCACACTAGTCAAGATTCGTGCTATGGCGCAAGTACTACACTATGCGGTAAATTAGCCAAGATGTAATAGTGTGAACACCATCTTGGTTACTTTATTCTTCCCCCACCCGTGTGTCGCCCATCATGAAGCTACATTTTATCTTTAGCTTCATGGTCGCCCATATTTCGGTGTGCGGGCTACTGGCTAAGCGCTTCAACTTGGGCAATTTTCTGCATAGTGTACTTGCGCCATATTGATAAGCATTTTAGAGCAGAAATTATTTGGTATCTCTTCTTTGAAATAGGTAATATTAAAGTAAATTAATAAGTTATCCTTAGGCACCAGAAATTATTACCCAAAAGTTCCAAAGTTATGGGGTTTACATTTTAATAGAAAATAAATTGTGAAAAAAAAACATAACCCTTCTTCTGGCGCAGTCGGGTAAAAAGTATCAAGCATTACAATGCTTAATTTTTCAAATTCAAATTCAAATTCTTTATTGCTCCAAAAAATATTTTACAATTTTATTACAAATACCAGCACCGATAAAGATAACGGTAGCGGTATCATAAATTGTCTATGCTATTTTTATTTCCTGGCAGCACTTGACTTACATTTCATTATGTTGGTATCTGCTGACGCCGTATGAAAATACCACTTTCCGGTTACTCAATAATTACTTTTTAATTTAATAGCATGTACTTGGAGTGATTTTATTTTTTGACTAATTTAAAATGTATGTTAGATTTTTTGAAGTGGTTTGTTAATGCGATTTTATAATATTTTAAATGTATTAGAATATTCAGTGCTGCCACCAAAGCGGCTAAAAGGGTAATTTCGTACGCAGTCGGTGATATTTACAACTAATATTTTGCTACTGTTTTGACAAATTCACGGCATAATTGTATGCACTACAAATTCTAAACACATATTTATTGAATAAAAGTAAACAGTGTTAAAAAATGTGTCGGTGAATTGAATATGTTAGTTATTTGTAGCACAACTCCAGTCGGCATAGTAGTAGTTGGTTGACAAAAATATGGTCGTGCGTTTTGTCTGATCCGTGGTGATGTGTGAGCAGACTGAAATAAATTATTTGGACGGAGAAGTGGTATGGGTGAAACTGGGTTCCTGTTGGTGGCCCGGCGAGGTGGTCGCCCAAGAGAAGCTTCCTTCAGATTTCCTTTCTTCATTTCGGAAACCACCTATAGCTGTCGTCAAATTCTTTCAGGAGGATGCCTAGTAAGTTCATGTTTATAAATGTAAAAAAACCAAGAGACGCCAACTCTGCGTGGGCCTCAATATTCCATTATGTCATATTGTACCCTGAAAACTTCGGCCAGCCTTTGTGTAAACTTTGATACCCAAGTATTTACATAAATGTATAGATGATACTGACTGTTCTTATAGTTCCATTTACATCCTTTTACATTTATTTAAATTTTAGTGTATCATTCAGATTCTGTTTGGTGAATATGTTATTTATGTAGCGATAAATAATGTATTGTATTATCACAATGCTATTGGGATATCAAGGAGACAACTTACATGTACTTGGTAACTGCAGAATGCAGGTTTCAGCGCCTATATTACAAAACTTAACCTCAATCTCCTTATATTGTCACAAAGGAATATTGTTCCTTGATATACATTGTATAATTTAAATGTATCAGAATGTAAAATTTCCTATCTGCTGCCATAATTACATGTTCATGTTGAATTGATTTATAAACATTGTAATATTTTAATCAAAATATATTTTTTTCAGTGAATACGTCAAGAATATAAATTCAATATACAAATACAATTGCAGCCGTAAAAATGAATTCATCTCAAAGGGATTATGTAAGTTTCATAATTTGATCTTTGTGGTTTATTTCTTTCATGTGAGCAAAAACTATCGTACTGTGTTTTTAATAACTTACAGTATTTCATTACTTTTTATTTACAATATAAGAATAAGAATAAATCACTAATACGTACACAAATATGTACTTAATATAAATAACTTTAGTTTAATAAATAACTTTTTTGCCCCAGATTTATACAGAAGCAAGGGTGGGGCTATGGAGAAATTTCCAGAAGATATTATTAGAGCAGAAACAGCTGTTGGTGGGGACATTGAAATCCTCTCACGAGAGGAATTTCAGGAAACAAAAAGAGAGAGTTACGCTGGAATATTTGGTGACCCTAAGAAAACACCCAACACTGCAAAGAAAGGTTATTTTTTATTTAAATAAATATTTATTACCCTACCTAATTACATTTATAAACTAGTGTGTTGATGTAATAATACTTATGCTGGTTTGCTATTAGTCAATCCCTATCGAAACCTGTCCGGTCAAAATATGCTTGGTTTTCGATGTTTCACATTTTTATATTGTTTTTAAGACTTTTTAAGCAATAACAAAATTTGCATCGAAAATTCTGGATACTTGATTGAAAACAAAATTTAAATTTGACAGTTGACGGTCAGATTTTGATAAAGATTGATTATAACAAATGGGCATAAATACTTTATTAAATAAATAACTTTGAGTTATTTTATACAAATATTCACAGCAATAATTTGTATTAATTAAATTTCAGGCAAAGGTCGTGGTAGGCCGCCTGCATCAGAATCAGCAAAAGTTTCTACTCCTATAAGAAAGGTTAGCATTTTTTACATAATATTAAAAAATACTACTTAAATGGCCCTCTAGCCTGGTGGTTCACATGTTATAAAACAACAGTAGCAGTTGTGGGTTTGAATTCCGCTTTGTGTAAATGTAT